GCAGAGGCCAAGTCTCTCACTCTGATTACTGAATTTGCTGGGCACCCTGATCTGGGACTCTCAGCCTTCAAAACTCTGCAGAAATAAACTTTCTTGTTGTTTACAAGCCCCACTTTTATTAGGGTATTTTGGGGGTTACTGCAGCACTGAACAGACTAATACATTCATATACACTTACACTTGCTCTATCTTCTCCTGACTATTGACCTTCTTATCATCAAGAAAATGTCTATCTTTGTCTATGCTAATGTTCTTGTCTTAAGTCCTCTTCATATTCTCTGATATTTATGTAGCTACTCTCTCTTTATGGTTACTGTTTGCATTGGTAAGGCTCTTTGTCTTTATGCTTTTACTTTCAATCTGTTTGGCTGTCTTTGAATTTTAAGGTGTGCTTTCTCAGAGTAGACAGCATGTAACTGGGCCTTGTTTTTTTATCCATTCTGGGTCATAACCTTGCCTTTTTAATGTGATGTTAGTCAATTTTCTATTCGTAATCATTACTCATGTTGGTTTAAATATACATACGCCATTTTTGCTATTTGCCTATTGTACCATGTTCTTTTTTCTTCCCTTTTTGCCCTTCTTTACTACTTTCTTTGTATTATTTCTTTTGTTTTTTTTTTTTTCTTTTGAGACGCCCGAGCTCTGCTCGTTTCCCAGCTGGACCTCGCCAGCACGATCTCAGCTCACTGCAAGCTCCGCCTCCCTGGTTCATGCCATTCTCTGGGCCTCAGCCTCCGTCCGAGTAGCTGGGACTAGAAGCACCAGCCACCCACGCCCAGCCAATTTTTTTTGTATTTTTCAGGTAGAGACAGGGTTTCACCGATGTTAGCCAGGATGTGCGCTCTCGATCTCCTGACCTCATGCATCCAGCACGCTTCGCCTCCCAAAGTGCATGGGGATTATAGGCATGAGCACCACGGCCTGATCCTGTTGGTTATTTCTTTTGCTGTCTGCTCTTTAGTGTACCCATTTTAGATGCTTCTGGCTTGACTTTTATTATATTTTTAAAGCTTACTTAAGCTCTACAACCACTTACAATATGGACTATATATCACGATTTCTATTTTATTTAATTTTGTTTTTAATTTTTTGGGTGATACATAGTCCGTGTGTATATTTATGTGGGTCGATGAGATGTTTGAGTAGCGCCATGTAGATACATCAAATAACCACATCATGGAGATGGGGTGTATCCACAGTCCAGTTTAGGAATAATTTAACTCAATTTCTAGCATAAAATATAGAAATTTCACTCTCGGTTTCCCTCCTTCCCTTGTTCTTTTCTTTCTTTCTTTCTTTTTTTTTTTTTTTTCTTGTTCGAGACCAGCTGAGACAGAGTCTCCCTCTGTCATCCAGGCTGGAGTGAGTACAGTGGCACAATCTCGGTTCACTGCAACCTCTGCCTCCTGGGTTCAAGTGATTCTCCTGTCTCAGCCTCCTGAGTTGCTGGGATTACAGTTGTGCACCACCATGCCCAGCTAATTTTTGTATTTTTCATAGAGATGGGGTTTCGCCATATTGGCCAGGCTGGTCTTGAACTCCTGACCTCAAGTGATCCGCCCGCCTCGGCCTCCGAAAGTGCTGGGATTACAAGTGTGAGCCATCGTGCCCGGCCCCTTTCTTTCTTAACATTGCTTAAGTATCCTCTTCCTTTCTTTATCTTTTATGTAATAACCATAAATATTGCAACTATATTTGTTATGAACTGAAAAATACAGTGTTATACAATCTTATGTCATTTAAAGAAGATGAGATAAAAGGTGTATGGAGTCATTTATATCTGCTCTCATATTTATTATATCTGGTCTTGTCACTTATTCCTGGGAACTCAAGTGATCATCTTGTGTCATTTCCTTTCAGCCTGAAGAACTTCCTTCAGCTTTTCTTGTAAGGCATGTCTGCCAACCATTTCTCTCTGCTAGCCATTTCTCTCTGTCTTTGTATACGTCAGAATGTTTATTTTGCCTTCGTTTTTGAAGGATGAGTTGCTACAGGTGTAATTCTGGTTTAGCAATTATTTTCTCTTTCAGCCCTTTGAATTTGTCATTCTACTGCCTTGTGCCCGCCATTGTTTTTGATGCATAGTTTTTTTCTCTTGCTACTTTCAATATTTTCTCTGTCTTTGACCTTCAACAGTCTGATTATAATGTGTTTAGGTGTGGGTCTCTTTGTGTTTGTCTTTCTTGGGATTGATTGAGCTTATTGGATCTGCTGAGTATTGGTTTTCCTCCAATGTGGGAAATACTGGCCATTGTTTCTTCCATTCTTTTTCTGTTCCTTTCTCTCTCTCCCTTATACATGTGTTGCTGTGCTTGATTTTGCCCCATAGGTTTTTGATGTTCTGCTTATTTTCTTCAGTCTTTTTTCTCTGTTCTTCAGATTAGATAATTTCTGTTGAGCTATTTGTTCAAGTTCACTGATTCTTTCTTCTGTTTTCCAATTTGCTGTTGAGTCCCTCTGGCAATTTTTAAAATTTCAGTTACTTTACTTTTCAACCCCAGGCTTTGACTTAATTCTTTAAAAAAATAATAATAATTTCTGTCTCTCTATTGAGCTTCCCTACCAGTCAGATCATTGTCATCATACTTTAATTTTTATCAAGTGCAGTTTCCTTTAGTTCTTTGAAGATTTTTAAAAAATAGCTGTTTTGAAATCTTTTGTCCACTAAATCCAGCATCTAAAGGCACTCAGAGATAATTTCTGTGGACTATTGACTATTTTTCCCCTGAGTGTAGGTCACTTTATTTTTTTCATGTCTCATAATTTTTTTCTTGACTACTTCAGGTAGTATATTCTAGCAACTCTGGATTCTGACTTTTTTCCCCGAGGGTTGTTGTTTTGTGTTTTGTTTACTTGGATTAAATCTTTAATGTCTGTCTCCCCTGCAATGCATGGCCACTAGTGTCAGGCTTTTTGTTTGTTTGTTTGTTTCTTAATTAGAGAAGTAAATAAACAAAAGAATGGCTACTCCATAGACAGAGCAACAGCTTTTTTTTTTTTTTAGTAGGATGTATGTGCAGAACATGCAGGTTTGTTACATAGGTATACATGTGCCGTGGTGGTTTGCTGCACCCATCAACCCATCGTCTAGATTTTAAGCCCCACATGCATTAGGTATTTGTCCTAATGCTCTTCCTCCTCTTGCCCCCCACCCCCCAACAGACCCCAGTGTGTGATGTTCCCCTCCCTATGTCCATGTGTTCTCATTGTTCAACTCCCACTTATGAGTGAAAACATGCAGTGTTTGGTTTTCTGTTCCTGTGTTAGTTTGCTGAGAATGATGGCTTCCAGCTTCATCCATGTCCCTGCAATGGACATGAACTCATTCTTTTTTTATGGCTGCATAGTGTTCCATGGTGCGTATGTGCCACATTTTCTTTATCCAGTCTATCATTGATGGGCATTTGAGTTGGTTCCAAGACTTTGCTACTGTAAATAGTAGAGCAGCAGCTTTTTCCTTCTCTTATAGTTAAGCCTGATGTTACCTTTGGGTCAGATATCTTAGTGTTCAATTGGCCAGAGATTGTGCGCAGGCAGCTCCATCCAGGAAGGCCTCCACTCCCTGCTGATGGATCTGTGTGTTGGCTGGGTAACATTCAAACTTAAGGCTGTTTTCCAGCCCCAGTTTTTACTCTATGCTGAGCTCTCTTGCAGTTCTCTGTGTGCAGTTCCCATCAGCCAGGGCTGTGTGGGTGGCTTGGGCCTACTCTGGTTTATACTGCTTATGTGCATAGCCTCCAGTCAGCTAAGGCTATATGGAGAGCTATCAAGCCCCTATCATTGAATTACATCCTGGAACTCCATGTTAAATCCTTGGCCAGTTTGCCGGTCAGTGCATCGATTACCCCAAACAGGCTCATTATCTCAGACTAGGGCACCACTTGTCTTCCTTGTTTGCTTGCCACCAAAATCGTCACCTTAACAGTGCTCCAAATCAAGTGATCCCTGCCCATCAGCGGCCACAAAACTTGTGGTTTTCACAGCCTGCCCTGCCCTGGTGGAGCTACCATATTGACAGAGTTGGGGGTTGGGGGACAGCCCAGGCAACAACCACCCAGAGCTTCGTGTTCTTTTCTGCAGTTCAGTCATTTTCAGGAACTTCTCAGTTTGTTACCTGCCTTTCAATGACTTTCAGGGTGCTGAAGTGGTTGCTTTTTGACAGCATTGTCTGACTGTGTGATTGCTTTTTTTTTTTTTTTTTTTTGAGCAGGAGCCTCACTCTTGTCACCCAGGCTGGAGTGCAGTGACGCGATCTCAGCTCACTGCAACTTCTGCCTCCCGGCTTCAAACGATTCTCTTGCCTCAGCTTCCCAAGTAGCTGGGATCATAGGCGCCCACCACTACGTAGGCCTGGCTAATTTTTGTATTTTTAGTAGAGCTGGGGTTTCACTATGTTGGCTAGGCTGGTCTCGAACTCCTGACCTCAGATGATGATCCACCCACCTCGGCCTCCCAAAGTGTTGGGATCACAGGCGTGAGCCACCGCGCCTGGCCTGTGATTCCTTTTGGGGAAGAGTATTTATAGACCTCCTTATTCCATCATGCTATAAATTAATTTCCTATGGATATTTTTCTTTTTTTTCAACATCTCTCTTTTCTACACTGAACATGATTTTACTCTTAATAGGAATAAAATAATAAGAAATGTAATTATTGTTATTTTGCTTTCTATTATTTACTTTTTAATCGACACATAATAATTGTACATATTTATGGGGTACATAGTGTTATTTGATACAAATCATGTGTAGTGGTCAAATCAGAGTAATTGGCATATCCATCATAAAGGTAATTATTTAAAAATTGTTTTACGAAAACAAATCAAACTTTACATTCTTCCACCAAGTACTAACCAAGGCTGACCTGCCTAGGTTTTGAGATCAGATGAGATCGGGAATGTTCAGGGTGGTACGGCCGTAGACAAATCTTACATTCTAAGATCTATTAATACCTTCAGTTTTTACATGCAAGATAAACCGGACCTTTTCCTTGTGCAGATGGGCTTATGTGCAGAATGCAGAAGCTTGGTGCCCATGAACACTCCTATCTGTGTGGTGTGTGAGGCCCCTCTTGCTCTACAGCTGCAGCCACAGGCAAGCCTCCACTTGAAGGTAATGAAGTGTGATTCTGTAAAAACATGAATGAAATACATAGTAATGTTTGAACAGGTATATGTCCTTTTTCAGCTGGTGGGATGGGGTAACAATTTTTTTTTTTTTTTTTTGAGACAGGGTCTTGCTCTGTCACCCAGGCTGGAGTGCAGTAGCATGATCTCGGCTCACTGCAACCTCTGCCTCCTCGGTTCAAGTGATTCTCCTGCCTTAGCTTCCCGAGTACCTGGGTCTATAGGCATGCACCACCACGCTGGCTAATTTTTATATTTTTAGTAGACATGGGGTTTCTTCATCTTGGCCAGGCTGGTCTCAAACTCCTGACCTCAGGTGATCCACCCACCTCAGCCTCCCAAAGTGCTGGATTGTAGGCATGAGCCACCGTGCCCACCAGGATGGGGTAACACTTGATAACCTAATATACATGAACAAAATCCATTCTCATTTTTGGTAAGGTATGCTGTCCAGGAGTTTAACTTGCCAATAGGATCTATAATATTAAGAGAGATACGTAGGATTGTATTCCCTGAATAAGGATTTGGAGGGCAAATTGCACTACAGCTAATATAGACAATTTTTTACTTCATATATTTAAACTCCAACATTGCAATTAGTATTGATTTATAATTTTGTCCTTAAAGTGACTTCAGACTTTTGTTTGCTTTATTTAATTATAGGTTCTTATTATGGAGTAAAAGAATGACTAGAACTAGTCACATGGAAGAAAAAGTTATGTATCATCACTTATATCCAAAAACCTTTGCTAGAAAAATGATATCATACTGTGAAAAATTTTTTCATATAATCATTAAACATACAACTAAATCTTTTCTCCATCCTTCAATTTACAGTCCCATTTACCTCCTCTTTAATCCCAAGTAAGGTCACTAGAGGATAAAATAGATTTAATAGAGGGAATTTGGGGGATTAAAAAACCAAGAATTTTTAGCAATAAGGGAAATGCATGGCATTATATACAGGCCATAACACTCCTAAAATGGCCTGTGGGTTGTATATGGGCAAAATGTATTCAGAGAAAAGATAAGTCCACTTTTTCTTCCACCTTCAAACTGCCTTTAGCATGAAGAGTTCACAAGTGTCCAAGATTGTGTGAGCCTTCAGAAATGAGATTTTTGAAAAACTGGCCAGGCCAAAGTCAGGTAGAGGAAAATTTACCAATTTTTTTGTTCAATGACTGTTTTCAATCTTAAGATGCTTTAAGATGCTGCAGGAAGCCACTATACAGCCCTGGAAGTCTGTCTCCAGACTTCTTATATATGGGAGAGAGAAATCTATTTTTCTCTTGTTTATTTAAGCCTGTGTTATTTTGGGTGTTCTGTCAATCACAGCGAATCTATTCTTATGAATACATTTATTCAGGATGTTTGAAGATAATATCACTGCAAACTCTTTGGACTATTCAGAACAGGAAGAATAGGGGTAAGCGTTAGTTGTGACCCCAACTCAATATATATAATATCATCTTCAGTATTTGAAATCTAGAGTTCTTCCCATTTTATGGGAAGGCGGAGAGACACAAAGGTACATGTAAGTAATTTTTCCCTTCAATTTGTTGTAAATCCTATACTGAGAATAAACACAGGACTTCTGCAGTGATAGGTAACATCAAATCCAGGAACAGCCTCTTTCTTGCAGGGCAATTTTTATAAGAGAGATTTTTATAACTTATAATAAGTTATAATAGGAATAATTTTATAACTTATTTCTACTCCATAGGTGGGCCAAAGTTAGAACATATAATGAGGAAATCAATAATGAATTCAAAGATGAGATTTAGAAAATGTGCGTCAAAACTTTGCAAGGAGTTTAATTTTGCTGGGCTGCAACAATGCTGGGGTGCTGTGGGTTATGGGAGATGGCACCTTCTCTACCAGACTTAGTAGCTCAGATTTCTCCCTGTGGGCCCTGAAGGTTGAAAGTGGGGACAGGTTTTAACCAGACTTGATTTGTAGAGAGACTTTCATCACCATAACCTCTGATCCTGGAGAGAAGTGTGTGACTTTTTATGCCAATCACTATTACTGCTTCTACTCACAGAAGGACATCTGTTTGGAAACCCCGGCCTGACAATCTTCCTTCCAGTGCCTCTCCCAGATGTCATAAGGGTGACAGGTTTTGAGATAACATTCTCACCCAGACAGCCACCTCTGAAGTTGGTGGGAATCCTCTTGTGAACTGCTCAGGGAAGCCAGCAAGCCTTACCTCCCGGCAGGTGGCAGCATGCCATTGACAGCTCCCGTCCCCTTTCTTCGTTGGTCTCTAGCTCACTCCACTGAGCACACAAGCACAATCGGCGCTCTTCCTTCTATGATGAAGACAGATTCCATGGCAGTTGCAGTTGCAGTCTTGTCTTGTGTGCATTTAAGGCGCTGTCAATGCTGAAGAATTTTGCTCTATCAGATTTTTTTTTTTTTTTTCTGCCGGGATTAGAACATACAGTAGCAGAAGTTTCTGTATTTGACCTCTGGCGAAGACACCTATTTCAGAAGAAGAGAGGATTTTACAACTTACTTGTTTAAAATAATTAATACCTAATTTTTGGTAACAACTAATCCAAAGATGTACCAAAAAGTGTATAATTTCTTCACTCTACCTCCATTTCTATTTCTCTGAAATAACCAGCGTTAGCAGCTTAGAGTGTCCTTTTACGTATTTTTCTAGATTCACAGAAACATGTTTATGTGTATTCATACATTTAGATTTGGTTTGGTTTGGTTTTTTAAACAAAATGAAATCATGTTATATACTTTTCCTCGCAACTTATTTATTTCACTTAACAAATGCATCTATTGGCCATTTTCTTTTTTTATTTTTATTATTAATTTTTTTTGAGACAAGGTCTCACTCTGTCATCTAGGCTGGAGTGCAGTGGCACGATCATGGCTCATTGCAACCTGACTTCCCGGGATCAAGTGATCCTCTTACCTCAGGCCCCCAAGTAGCTGGGACCACAGGCATACGCCACCACGCCAGGCTAATTTTTCTATTTTTTGTAGAGATGGGGTTTCGCCTTGTTGCCCAGGCTGGTCTGGAACTCCTGGGCTCACATGATCCTCCCACCTTGGCCTCCCAAGGTTCTGGGATTACGGGTGTGAGCCGCCGCACCTGGCCTCCATTGGCTGTTTTCTAAAGTTGAAACTAATTTTTGCATCCCTGTTCACCAGAAGATGTTAACTCAAGGCATTTATCAAGAAGAGCTACTACAGTTTCCTTTGGGATTTTATGAGCAACATACAATGTACCTCCAGGACTTCAGTCATGTTTGTGGTTCTTAGAATTTGTGAGGCTTAGGTCTGGGATCATCCTGAAAAGATCTGATGATTCCTGTGCCTGAGGCACAGGTGCCTTCAGTGAGTGCCAGCCTCTCACACTGTGATTTGGGGTTAAGGCCAGTGTAACCACAGCTCCACATCAAGCAGAACTTTAGCGTAGTCAGTTTTGAGATTAAGTTTGCAATGACCTACTAGTTTGTTTTCAATATTCTTCCTTTTTAATTGTGTCAATTAAAGCTTATCACTTGGGAGTCTGAAAATTGTTCTCCTCTTCCAACTACTTTAAAAGGAAAAGTTTTATTCCAGTGACTAAGTGGCTCTGTTAAATAGCTTAGAATCTTTCAACTAGACAGTATGTTGCAAAGTCTGTGGATGAAATGGCAAATGAGGATATTGACTTTTTAAAAGTGCTCATCATAGGTGTTTGCCATCCCCATTAAGGCCATCTGATGGTGGCCTCAATTCCAAATCACCTCCACAGACATCTGTGAATTTATGAGTGTAGTGGATTGTGATATAAAATGATTTCTAACTGTGGGTCATGGTCACTGCTCTAGAAAGAAGTGAGCCATGGCACGGTGTCAAAAGTCTCCACAAAAAAAAAAACAACAAAAAAAAAACCCAACACATAGAAAAACCCGTCAACCAAGAAAACTATGTTTAATAGACCTGATGCAGTAAGGTAGACCATCACTTAGACAAGTTCGTAGTAGTATCTCAGAAGAAGGAAGTCAGGACAAGGTATTTAAAGGGAGTTAGTGCTGGACCCTAATGTCAGCCACGGGCTGTGGGTGATAATGATGTGTCAGTGATGGTCATTGATTGTGACAAATGTACCACTTGGGTGTGGGATGTCCATAGCGTGGGGGAGACGGTGTCTGTGGGATGGGACAGGGTATACGAGAATCTTCTGCAATTTCCACTCAATTTTGCTGTGAACCTTAAACTGTTCTAAAAATAAAGTTTAAAGTTTATTAAAATTTAAAAAAACAGAGTTTTGCAAGGCGGGGCGAGGATTGGACAGAGTATGCACTGGGCAAAGTTGTGAGAAGCAGTTTTGGATTATGAGCCCCCCAAGGTGAGGTCTTGAAGGAAGCTGTTGGACTTGAGAAGTAAGCAGTTTTCGTTGTTCTCCAGTTTTCCCTTCCTAGAGGAAGTATTTTCTGCAGCACACAGCAAGATTACTTTTATTTGATCTCAGTGTTTTTTAACATGGAGACAGGAAATTTGTCTCATTTCTCAGTGGGTTTCACCAGATCTTTTCTGAGGCAACATCTTCAGGAAAGTCACAGCACTAAATCTCATAGATAAATGCTGGCCAATTGCTGATTATTCTGTGGCAACTTTAAGTAACTTTGAAGAATGTTGGTCCCCAGGGAGTGTCAGGAACCATTGAGAGCAAGACTGTGATTCTCTGCCATTTCGAATAGCAGTCAGTTGGCCTCTGCCCTTTAGGAGTCGTTTAGATTGGCAACTGTGGTACGTTGGCTCTGTTCCTGGGAAAACTTTGGAATCTTCCACTAAAATAGAGTTAACCAGACTTTGAAAGGCTGGGACTCCATAGAGCTACCTGGTGGTATTGGAAATAAACCCCCTGGAGTTGGACTTTCTTTTTCTTGATCATCCACTTTACCTGTGCCAGCTTCTGAACACACTGTTGGATATACTAGTTTCGGGACACCTAGGGACCACAGTGCTGGACTAGAAAGGAACACTTGAGCACCACTGGTCATTGACAATGGAAAAAGATTGTATCCTGAGAGAATAGAGTGGTCAGTAACGTGTTAGAAAACCTCTGAGAGCTGAGCTGTAGACTATTTTTACCATCATTTCTTTGTCTTTTGTTTTTCTCTGTGTTGCAACTTAACCCCAAGGTCCTGTCTTAGAAAGTTGTACTTACGGCCAGGCACGGTGGCTCACGCCTGTAATCCCAGCACTTTGGGAGGCTGAGGTGGGCAGATCACGAGGTCAGGAGTTCGAGACCAGCCTGATCAATATGGTAAAACCTCATCTCTACTAAAAATTCAAAAATTAGCCAGGCATGGTGGCACGCGCCTGTAGTCCCAGCTACTTGGGAGGCTGAGGCAGAGGAATCACTTGAACCCGGGAGGTAGAGGTTGCAGTGAGCTGAGATCACGCCACTGCACGCCAGCCTGGGCAACAGAGTGAGACTCTGTCTCAAAAAAAAAAAAAAAAAAAAAAAAGGAAGTTGTACTTACCACTGTCTTTCTTTGGCAGTCTTTCCACTTCTTCCATTTCTAAGTAAAAACTACAGAGCAAACCTAAAATTCATATTTAACATGAAGCCCCAGAAGATAAACCCCAGTCCAAGAACCAGATTACTTGTAAACACACAGATAATCCCTTGCTGGTCTAGGGTCTTTCTGTTTACTGTTTAAGCCGTGAAATGGAACATCTACTCAGTGTCATGGTTTTCACACTGGAGAAACACACACACACACCCCCAACCTTACACATAACCAGTGCAGAATTTCCAACTTACCTTTTGAAGACCAAACGAATACTCTTTTCAGTATTTCCTTGTTGGTGGTTTTGTTTCTTTTAAAACTACATTCAGGCTGGGCATGGTGGCTCACACCTATAATTCCAGCACTTTAGGGGGCTAAAGTGGGAGGATCACTTGAGGCCAGGAGCTGGACACCAGACTGGGCAACACAGTCAGATCCCATCTCTACAAAAACAAATGAAAGAAAACAAACAAAAAAAACCCCTACAGATATTTGTCTGACACTATTTACAGTAACTCCTAAACCAATCCAATATTCAGGGCCTGGGTGCAATAATAGGGCCTGTAGCTGAATGACTGACAGAAAAGACTGCTTGATGATTTCTTTGCACAGTTGTTTGCTCAGAGGAACATGTATTTCTTATTTTTTGTTGTTAAGGAGAAGGTAATTTGCCGGGCCTGTGGTACAGGAAATCCTGCTCACCTGAGATACTGTGTCACCTGTGAGGGGGCCCTGCCTTCATCACAAGAGGTAGGTTGATTGCATGTGCCAATCCTATATTTAGTGGCTACTATGTCAATATTAATGATAATAGAGAAACAGAATCTGCTGAGGGGGTTGGGGAGAGAGACCAAAAAAGCTTCTCATGGTAAACTGAAAGCAAGATTTCCATATGTGGGGAGAACTTTATATCAACACAAAATTATTTTCAAAGTCTTAACTTCAAGAGGATTGAGTAAAATCAATAATTTTGTATGATTTTGTTTAATAACTTTGCATGGGAGGCTGGCATTAGCCTGTGGGGAAGTGAACTCATTCCCATTTCATTACAGACAGGTATGTCTTTGTCGTCCCCTCCACCTTCCCACACCCCATAGTCCATTGTTTTCGTTGACTCTGTATGCACACTGCTTTTTGAAATTGAGAACATTGTAGCCACCTATCTCTTGGGTTTCCTGCCAGCCTATTTTGAATGTTGGAGTGAAGGAATAGGAGTATATGCACTTTAAATACAGTGATGATCTATTTTATGTTTATAAAATGTTTCTGATGAAAATGAAAATTACTTCCAGGTGACTCTTGCTTTGTGCCAGGAAGAAGCTGGCATTTACTAGCCAACTTAGAAGAAAAAACTTGCTTCTTCTGGGTTGCTGTGTATGTTTTTGATTGTTTGTAGGGTTTGTTCTCATCTCAGAGAGATTCCTCATGAAACTGGACAATGTGGTTAGTTGGTCTACAGCAGTGGTCCCCAACCTTTTTGGCATCACGGACTGGTTTTGTAGAAGACAATTTTTCCATGGACCTGGTTGGGGGATGGATTCAGGATGAAACTGCTCCTCCTCAGATCATCAGTCATGAGTTAGATTCTCATAACCTAGATCCGTCACGTGCGCGGTTCACATTTGGGTTCGCGCTCCTATGAGAATCGAATGCTGCTGCTGATCTGATAGGAGGTGGAGCACTCACCTCCTGCTGTCCGGCCCAGTTCCTAACAAGCCGTGGATCCATACAGGTCCGTGGCCCGGGGCTTGGGGACCCCTGGTCTGCCTGATTAGTATCAAATGGGTGTGTACTAGTTTCCTAAGCACCATCAACTAGGTGGCTAACAACGACCGAAATCTATTGTCTTACAGCTCTGGAGGCTAGAAGTCTAAAATCAAGGTATTGGCAGGGCCATACTCCCTCTGAAGGTGCTGGGGAATGAACTGTTCCATCTCCTCCCCCAGCTTCTGATAGCCTCAAGCTTCCCTTGGCTTCTAGATGCAGCACTCCAGTCTCTGCCTTTGCCATCCCATGGAGCTCTCCCTCTGTGTCTGCCTGTGTGTGTATGCCACTGTGTCCAAGTTTCTCTTTTTCATAAGGACACCAGTTACATTGGATTAGGGCCCACCCTAATGACCACATTTTAACTTGATTACTTCTGTACAGACCTTTTTCCAAATAAGGTCCCATTCTGAGGTACTGGGAGTTAGGACTTCAACTTATCTTTTTCTGGGCAGACAGAATTCAACCTATAACAGTGGAGTTGGACAAGATACCTTTTTTTCTTTTGAGATGGAGTCTCGCTCTGTCACCCAGGCTGGAGTGCAGTGGTGCAGTCTTGGCTTACTGCAACCTCTGCCTCCCGGGTTCAAGCGATTCTCCTGCCTCAGCCTCCTGAGTAGCTGGGATTACAGGCGCATGCCACCACACCTGGCTAATTTTTGTATTTTTAGTAGAGACGGGGTTTCACCATGTTGGCCAGGCAGGTCTTAAACGCGTGACCTCGTGATCCGCCCACCTTGGCCCCCGAAAGTGCTGGGATTACAGGCATGAGTCACTGTGCCCTCCGACAAGATACCTTTTAATGTCATCTAATCACGGACAGTCTAAGAGTAGTTGATTTGAAGGAACTTCTTTTGTTTCCAGCTTTATTGAGATATAATGTATATGCAATAACATTCACCTATTTTAATTGTACAGTTTGATGAATGTTGGTAATTATATATAGCCTTTTTGACCACCACCACAATGAAGATATTTAACAGTTCCATTTACCCTGAAAAGTTTTCTCATTCTTCGTTCTAGTTGAGCCACTTCCCTGGTCACCAGACCCAAAAAATACAGATCTGTTTTGACACTATGATTTTGTCTTTTATAGAAGTATGTAGTTTTTTGTGAGTGCTTCATTTCCTTCACTTAGCAGAATGTTTTTGGGGTTCATTCATGTTGTTGCATGTATTAATTTTTTTTTTCATTTTGATTGTTGAGTAGTATTCCTCAGTATGGATATACTGGTTGATTCATCCACAGGTACTCATGCTGTTTCCAGTGCTGGCACGTTATGAATAATGCTGCGTTACATGCAAATCTCTGTGTGGGCATAGTTTTCATTTTCCTTAGGTAAATACCTAGGAGTAGGATTGCTGGGTCCTATTTAAGCGCATGTTTAATTTTATAAGATACTGACCTATATGAAACTGGAACCTTCATATATTGCTGCTAGGAACACAAGTGGTATACCTTCATATATTGCTGGCCTATCACTTGTGTTTCTACTAGCAATATATAAACGTTCCAGTTTCTCTACATCATCTCCAACACTTACTATCACCTGTCTTTTATTTTTCCTTCCTTCCTTCCTTCCTTCCTTCCTTCCTTCCTTCCTTCCTTCCTTCCTTCCTCCTTTTCTTTCTTTCTTTCTTTTTTGTCGTTGTTGAGATGGAGTCTCACTCTGTCGCCCAGGCTGGAGTGCAGTGGCACAGTCTCGGGTTACTGCAACCTCCACCTTCCGGGTTCAAGCCATTCTCCTGCCTCAGCCTCCCAAGTAGCTGGGACTATAGGTGCCCGCCACCATGCCTGGCTAATTTTTTTGTTGTATTTTTAGTAGAGAGGGGGTTTCGCCATATTGGCCAGGCTGGTTTCGAACTCCTGACCTCAGGCGATCCGCCCGCCTCGGCCTCCCAAAGTGCTGGGATTACAGGTGCCCAGCTGGCGCCTGGCTGGTATCACCAATCATTTTAATCATGATATTCCCTTTTTACCATTTTAATGTATGTAGGATCTATAGTGATATTATTCTCCTCTTTCATGCCTGATACTTGTAATATGTGTGTTCTTTCTTTATCATTCCCTCTCTCTCTGTCTGGCTTGTAAATTTTTTTTTTTTTTTTTTGAGACGGAGTCTGGCTCTGTTGCCCAGGCTGGAGTGCAGTGGCCGGATCTCAGCTCACTGCAAGCCCCGCCGCCCGGGTTCATGCCATTCTCCTGCCTCAGCCTCCCGAGTAGCTGGGAGTACAGGCGCCCGCCACCTCGCCCGGCTAATTTTTTTTTGTATTTTAGTAGAGACGGGGTTTCACCGTGTTAGCCAGGATGGTCTCGATCTCCTGAACTCGTGATCCGCCCGTCTCGGCCTCCCAAAGTGCTGGGATTACAGGCTTGAGCCACCACGCCTGGCCCTGGCTTGTAAATTTTATTGATCTTTTCAAAGAACTAGCTTCTGGTTCATTCATTTGCTCTATTTTTTTGAATCCTGTATTTTTTTATTTTGCTCTTCATTATTTTATTATTTTTTCTTTGGGTTTAATCTGATTTTCTAATTTTTAAGGTGAGAACTCAAATTATTAATTTCAAATTTTTCTTATTTTCTAACACAGACTATAAATTTCTAAGAACTTATTTAGCAGCATCCCTATGTATTTTCATTATAATTCAGTTTGAAATGTTTTCTCATTTATCAATGATTTCTTTTTTGACCTATGACTTATTTATTAGTTCCAAAACATATGAGCTTTCTCTGTTTATCTTACTCTTATTGAGGTCAAATTTAATTCCATTAATGGTCAGAGAGCATACTCTGTATAATTTCAGTTATTTTAAATTAATGAGGTTTATTTTATGGCCCAGGATCTAACTTGCAAAACATACCAGGTGCATTTGAAAAGAATGTGTGAGTGGAGTATTCTATAAATATCAAATCAATGTGAAGTGTTGCACAGATATTACATATATTTGCTTATTTTTGTCTAGTTTTTCTAGCAAATAATGAAAAAGAGGTATTGGAAAGCTCCAACTATAGGAGGTGAAAGACTTGAACGTTAAAAACTGAAAAACATTGATGGAGGGAATTGAAGAGACACAAGTACAGTCATGCATCACTTAATGACAGGGAAACATTCTGACAAATGCATTGTTAGGTTGTTTCATTGTTGTGTGAACATCGTGGCATGTACAGTATTTCACAAGCCTAGATGATACAGCCTACTGCATACCTAGGCTATCTGGTATACCCTATTGCTCCTAGGTTGCAAACTTTACTCAATACTCTAGGCAATTGTAATACACATCACAAGGTGATAGAGGTTTTTGGCTTCTGTAAAGTGTGATGGGGCCTACTGTCATATGTGCAGTTTTTCGTTGACCAAAATGTCATTATGTGGTGCATGACTGTAAATGGAAAGATATCCCATGTTCATGGACTGGATGAATTAATATTGTTAAAATGTCCATACTCTATCAAAATTTTGCTGACATTTTTCACAGAAATAGAAAAAAAATCTTAAAATTTGTTTGGAACCACAAAAGACCCTGAATAGCCAAAGGAATTTTGAGAGAGAGAGAAAAAAAAAAAAAGAACAAAACCAGAGATATCACACTTCCTGAGCTACTATAAAGCTATACTGGCTGAGTATCTCTTATCTGCAATGGTTGGAACCAGAAGTATTTGGATTTTAGGTTTTCTGGACTTTGAAATATTTGTGTATTTATAATGAGATATCTTGTTGATGGGACCCAAGTCTAAACATGAAATTCTTTGTTTCTTATACAAGTTATACAAATGGCCTGAAGGTAATTTTATATAATATTTTAAATAATATTGTGCATGAAACAAAGTTTTGACTACATTTCAACTGTGACCCATCACATAGGTCAGTTTGGGTTTAGGAGTATTTTAGATTTTAGATTTTCAGATTAGAGATGTTCAGCATATAGTAATCAGAACAGCATGGTACTAGCATAAAAACAGACATGTAGAGCAATGGACCAGAACA